AATTCAAACTTTGAACTACAGTTGATCCTATTTTCATACAAACTGATACGATGAGCTCAAAAGAAGCAATGGCTATTGGTACTGATACCAAGCCACCTGTTCTTTTTCGTGGTGACTATAATCAGTGGAGAGATAGATTTCTGAACTTCATTGAGAGGATGAAAGAAGGAGATCTGATTATGAAATCTCTAATGGAAGGTCCTGCTGAATTCTTTCTAATGGTAGAAGTTGATTTAGTAGCAGGCATACCTGAACAGAAAGTACCTAAACTGAAACATCAATATTCACCTGAAGAAAAAGAAAGAGCCCATGCTGATGTGCTTTGCAAGTCTTATATGATGCAAGCATTGACTAATGGTATCTACACTAGCATTGACAGTTATAAATCATCAGGTCACAGCATGTGGGTTCAAATTGAGAAGATGATGATGGGTTCGAAAGTGGGAACTCANTCTCTCTCTCTCAATCAAATCATCCTTTGATAATATTCTTTCTACCTTTTATGTTCATCATGATTCTTGAAGATTACATCATGTTTGTATGATTTCTGTACTTATCAATTGGTATCAAAGCAGACTGCAGCAGTTTGGGTTTGAAGATTCATCAGATTTGCACGATTTCTTGAAGATTCGTCGATCTATTCATCACTATTCTTGATTTATTTTTTGTCCGGATTGGGTTTTTGGCCTAAATCGTTCATATTTTGAGTGTTAATTATAAAGATTTACATCGTTAGATTCGGTTTTTCATATCGAACAATCTTGATTCACACCAATTTTGATTTTAAACAAGTTTTAAGGCTGAATTAGTCGAAATTTGATTTTTTGTATTATGGAAAAAGTTCTTCAAAATTCATATTTTTTCATGTTTTGATCCAAAATTTTGGTAAAAAGTGTGAAATTTTGTGTTTTTGCTAGAATTTTTGTCCGCTTAAAGCTTGTACGGTTTAAGATGTTATCCGCTTAACTTTTGTGCGATTTAGCATCCGTGTGTTTTCGAGTTGTTTTGATATAGGTTATACCGGACAACACTTGTGCAGATAATTGACCGGTTTAACTAATTCGGCTGGTAAACCGTTGATACCTTGTGCGGATTAGTGTGCGGTTTAAAGAATCCGGTTGGTAAACCGTGTCGTTGAACACTTGAAAGGTTTATTGTGCGGTTTAAAGAATCCGGCTGGTAAGAAGTTTGTAACTTGAACGGATATTTGAACGGTTTAAACAATTCGGATGGTAAGTTTGATTGTTTGTGTTGTTTAGAATCCGCTTGGTAAGTCTTTTGACTATTTGAGCGGTTTATTTCTGTAATCGTACATCTTTTGGACGATATTTGATTGGACGGTGTTTGACTTTTGATCGGTTTAATATTTTGACTTATTGAATTTCTGGTTTAATATTTGATTGGACGGTTTAATATTTGAGCGATTTATGTTTACTTGTTGCCCGGACTTCTAATCCGGATAACCTGTTGAATATTCTATCTTTTTGACCGGACTCTTATACCGGATAAACTTGACCGAATTACTAATCCGGATAAGTGTTTGTGCTTAATATTTTCTAAGTGTTGAATGTGTGCTTATTATAGTTTACATATTATCAGATATATTTTTGTAAACTGATCTTTTAATTCAAACTTTGAACTGCAGTTGATCCTATTTTCATACAAACTGATACGATGAGCTCAAGAGAAGCAATGGCTATTGGTACTGACACCAAGCCACCTGTTCTTTTTCGTCGTGACTATAATCAGTGGAGAGATAGATTTATGAACTTCATTGAGAGGATGAAAGAAGGAGATATAATTATGAAATCTCTAATGGAAGGTCCTGCTGAATTCTTCCTAGTGGTAGAAGCTGATATAGTAGCAGGCATAACTGAACAGAAAGTACCTAAACTGAAACATCAATATTCATCTGAAGAAAAAGAAAGAGCCCATGCTGATGTGCTTTGCAAGTCTTATATGATGCAAGCATTGACTAATGATATCTACACTAGCATTGACAGTTATAAATCATCAGGTCACAGCATGTGGGTTCAAATTGAGAAGATGATGATGGGTTCGAAAGTGGGAACTCAGCTGAAGATTACTAATTGCATTTCAGCATATGAAGAGTTCAAGGCTAAAGAAGGAGAAAGTCTTGAAGATGTATATAATAGACTGGCCAGACTGCTAAACGAGCTGACAAAGAACAGAATTTCCAAAAGTACTATAGAGATAAATGTTAAGTTTCTTAACAATCTCCAATCAGAGTGGAAACCATTTGCTAATCATATCAGATTTAACAAGCAGTTATCTGATATTGATATTCATGAGATATATGAAACTCTGAAACATAAT